GCAACAGACAGATCACCTTGATGACCTCCGAGGAAAATTCGCCACACTTAGGCGGCACAAGGTCATGCTTAATCCCAAGAAGATTGTATTTGGTGTTGAGCCTAGGAAGTTTCTCGGATTTCTGATTGATCAAACGGGGATACAGGCCAACCTAGTAAACATATAAGCGGTCATTGGCATGAAGTCACCCCGCACTGTCAAGGAAGTCCAAAAATTAACCGATTGTCTATCGACATTGGGGAGATTCCTGAGCCGTTCAGGTGATAAGTGCCTCTATTTCTTTCAAGCAATCAAGAAGAAGACTATATTTGAATAGGGGAAGATGCTAAGGCGGGCTTTCAAAAGCTGAAAGAACACTTGCACTCATTGCCGAGGCTTGTTAGCCCTATGCCAAAGGAGGTGCTCTACATGTACTTAGCCGTCTCAAATCATGCTCTCAGTGTTGTCTTCCTTGCTGAGAGAGACAACACCCAGCTCCCGGTCTACTTCATCCGCCATGTTCTTCGAAATGCTGAACTACGGTACCCTTTGGTTGAAAAGTTTTGTCTTGCTCTTTTTATGGAAGTCAAGAAGTTAAAATCTTACTTCTTGGCACATTCGGTTGTTGTCTACAAAGACCAACCCCTCAAGCGGCAAATGACAACCTTGGATTCATCCGATAAAATGCTCAAATGGGCTATTGAAATGCAAAGCCTTGAAATCTCTTTCGAACCAAGGAAGCAAGTGAACGGTTAAGCGTTTGCCGACTTCAATGTCGAAATGATAAGGTTGACTAAGCTGGAAAATCTTGAAAAGGTTTTGAAAGTGTATGTAGACGGGAGCTCTACTATGAACGGATGTGGTGTAGGCCTAATATGTCAGTTCCCTGAAGGGGACAAGTACGAATATGCGCTACGGTTCAAGTTTCAAGCCTGAGTATGAGGCCCTACTAGCCGGTATCCACAAGTGTAAGGCAGCAAAGGCAAGAAAGATTGACGCATGTTTTGATTCACAATTGATCATAAGCTAATACCATGGTGACTATAAAGCCACCTATCCAGCCATAACCAAATATTTGCAGGCGGTCAAAAAGGAGGCTGGGGCACTTGAGGAGTTTGGTTTTTTTTTTTTGGTAAGTAAGTAAATTTTATTACCAAAAAGACAAAATGTTACAACTTACAAATATATATATATATATATATATATATATATATATATATATATACAAGTTGTAACCATCCTCACTACACAAGCCTAAACAAAGGCTCAGGACCTCCAAACAAATCCCTGACCTACAAGAAACCACCTTCTAGGAAAGTTTCTCAAAAAAGGGAAGGGAAAGCTGCAACTAATGCAGTGGCACCTTCTAGGAAGGGTACACCCCACTAGACCCAGCACAAACAAAACAGGAACAAAAACAACTCTAGCTACAATAAGATACTTGTAAACTATACAACCATTTACAATGCTTTCTCTGCCATTTACAATTGATTAGCTGCCTGCATCTCTTAACAATATCAGCACAGATTACCTTGCACACTGCCCTTGGATGAATGATCGCCTTTAACCAGAAAGCTTTATTTCGTGCATACCATATGTGATAAACCACAACAGCCAACAAAGCATAACAGACATTCCTTTTAATAGGATCCTTCACCTTCTCTCCCCAATATTTCCAGGATGTATCAATGTTGAACAAATACTCAAGAATATTCAGCCAAGCACTAACAGCACTAATGCACTTTCTGCTATACTCAAAGTCAAAGAACACATGCTTCTTGTCCTCAACAGCATTACCACACAGTAAGCAAGTACAGTCCTAGCAGATACCCATGTCTACTAGCATGCTCTAAGTTCTTAGCCTATTCTGCATAGCCAACCAAAGAATAAAAGAATGCTTGGGAATGTTGTACTGATTCCACACCCAAGTAGTCTAGGTAACCTCTTTCTGGGAGCCCTGAAGCCACTGATAAACACTTGAAATGCTATAATTTTGATTCATCTAACCATTACTACTAAACCCCTCCCTCAAACTATCCTTAACTTTGCACAGCCTTTTATAAGCCCAACCAGCACTCTTCTTTGGTTTGTACTCCCACTGGTCCATATCTTTTATATATATACAGCATGGACCCATTTAACCCATAAAGAGTCCTTTTTCTGAGCTATCTTCCAAATATACTTACCTAGAGCTGCTGAGTTCCAAGTTAAACATTCCCTCATACCCAGACCACCAGCTTTCTTAGGCTTACATATCCAATCCTAGGATAAAGGGGGGTTTTCCTCAACACAGCATCCCCCCCCTAGAGGAATTCTCTACATAATTGAGTAATTCTCTTAATAACCCCAGCTGGGAGCAGGACACGTTGAGCCCAGTAAGTGTCAAAACTAAGAAGCACTGAGTTAACCAGCAAGGCTCTAGCTACATAAGACAAGTTCCTACTGGACCAACATGTTATCTTAGCCACCATTTTGTCAATCAGGCTATCAAAGTCCCTATTTAATAAATTCCTAGCATTCAGGGGTATGCCAAAATATTTAAATGGAGTAGAGCCCTCAACAAACCCAGACACCTGTAAGACTTCTTATTTAACATTCTAAGGCATATTCCCAAAATATATGGTTGTTTTCTTAGCATTGACATGAAGACCAAAACACTTCTTAAAAGTTTCCAAGGCCCTCACCAAGAGTGACACAAAGCTCTTATTACCATAAGTAAACAACATAAGGTCATCAGCAAAAGCCATATGGTTCAGCTAGATCACTTTGCATCTTGAAAGAAATTTGAACCCTCTCACCTCTCCCACTTTCCTCAGCAACCTGGACAGGTATTCCATAACAATTACAAACAAAAGGAGGGACATGGGATCACCCTTTCTTATACCTTTCTTCCCCTTAAAAAAACCATTTAAGCCCCCATTTATCATTATAGAAAAGGAGGGGGAAGAGACACACTGCATAATCCATTTCACAAACACATCAGGGAATCTAAGACCAACCAGCATGTCCTGAATGAACTCCTAACTAATAGAGTCATAAGCTTTCCTTAGATCCACCTTTATAGTACACCTAGGGGCCTTCTGCTTATCATTATAGTCTTTTAGAACATCCTGACAAATTAGCACATTATCCAGGATAGATCTACCAGCTACAAAGGCACTCTAAACCTCACTAATTAAACTAGGAAACACTTCCTTAAGTCTAACACAAATCATTTTAGAAATGATCTTATACAGCACATTACAACATGTAATAGGCCTAAATTGACTAACCTTAGTTGCATTCTAAACATTAGGGAACATGGTGAGCACAATGGCATTAATCTGTTTCAACAAGCTTCCTTGTTGAAAGAAATTTAACATAGCTTCAGTAATATCTCCTCCCACAATGTGCCAGGTTACTTTGAAAAACTTACTAGAAAACCCATCTGGCCTAGGGGCTTTATTCTCATCAATATCCCATAGGACCTTCTTAACATCAGCAGTTGTGAAAGGTCTACAAATAGAGATGCCCTGCTCCTCACTTAATATCTCACCCATGCTCAGAACACCTTGATGCACCTTCTTGTCCATGACCCTAGAAGATCCCAACAATTTCTTATAGAATTCAAAAAAAGCCTCAACAATCTCCTCAGGCTTCTAAGACATCCTACCATCCTCCCACTGAATATTGCAAATGCTGTTTTGCAGTCTCCTTTTCCTCAGACATGCATGAAAATAAGCAGAGTTTACATCCCCATTTCTAAGCCAATGAAGCTTTGCTTTTTGCTTCAAGAATTGTTATTTCCTACTATGAGCTACAGCATACTTATTCCTAACTTCATGCTCTTGAGCAATCAACCTCTCATTTACAGGATCAAGGTTCAGTTGAGCTTGCACCTTAATCAACTCAGCCTCCAAAGAGACATCATCACTTATAACCGAAGAGAAATGCTTCTTGTTAAAGGCTTTAAGAGCATCTTTGACCAACTTGAGCTTCTTTACAACAGAAAACATGGGAGTGCCCTGAATATGGCAATTCCGGCTATCAGCAACCATGTTCAGAAATCCAGGATATTCAGTCCACATGTTGAATAACTTGAAAGGTCTTTTAGCAGAACCAACATCTCTCAAGATATTAACCACACAAGGACAATGATCCATAAGACCCTCAGGTAAAAAGACTGTGCTAGCATTCTGAAACCTGTCTAGCCAGGCTACATTTCCAAGCACTCGATCTATTCTTTAACGCACTCTTCCAGCCCCAAACTGCTTATTATTCCAAGTGTAGAAAAGACCATCAGTTCTGACCTCCCACAGATTATTATGTCTAATGCAAGACCTGAATCTTTCAACTTCAGTCAAGGTCACAAGGGAACCAACTCTATCTTCAAGGTTTAAAGCATTATTGAAATCACCACACATTACCCAAGGATCAACTAGATTATTCCCAACCTGACCTAAATGGTTCCATAGACACTCCCTGCCTACCTAATCATTAACCCCATACACCATTGAGCAATAGAACCACACTCCTGAAGCAATATGCACAACTTTGACATGAATCACCTACATCTCTATTCTTATCACATCAACATTGAAAATCTCAGGCCTCCAAATGATCCAAATTCTTCCATGACCACCCTTGCCATAACTGGCTACAACAGACCATTCATTATACAGACTAGTGAAGACCCTCTCAAACTTAGCAGCCTTCACTTTGGTTTCCAGGAGCCCAAACAAACCTATCTCATGATTTCTAAGAAAAGACAGAACATCACTAGTTCCTCCATGCTTGTTCAGACCACTTATGTTCCAAAATCTCCACTTATTCATGAGGGATATAGGAGAAATCTCCACCCCCATCACCACCATACAATACCTTTTCATTTCTCAATCTTAGGCTACTTGTTTTTCCATTCCCGGTCTCACCTACCAACTCCTCCACCAGCAATTCAAACTATTCTGAATCTGAACATCAAATCCATTGTCCTGCTCCACCCTAGATTGATGATTCCTCCTATCTTGATGTTTCTAGACATTCTAGTGCTTTTCCAAGGGGTTGCCTAGCATAGAATCCTTATTCGTACTCCTAGCATCCTGCTCTCCTGCTCTAACCATCCCCATAGACATCTTACCTTTATCAGGTCTAGTCCTGGGACCAAGCTTTTGCACTGGATCTGTCACAGCATTCTGCACAGGATTTTGCACAGGTTTTTACATAGGTCTCCACACTTTCTGAGCCTTCTAAAATCTTTTCCTCTGGTGCTTATCACTGTCCATTCTCTCATTAGGACATTGCTCAGCCATATGACCCATTCCATAGCAATTAGAACATCTAATTGGCCTCCATTCAAACACCACCTTCTGAGAGACTTTAGCTCCATTCTCATCAAGGAATTCAATAGAGTCAGGCAAATCACCGTTAATCTGCACCTCAATTAGCACACGAGCATACTCAATTAAGTCCTTTGTTGCAGTGGCTCTATCCATTTTAATTACCTTCCCAATCAACCCACTAAGTTTCATCAGAGCATTAAGGCCGCAAAACCGGAGATTTAACCTTGGAAACCGCACCCATATTGGTACTGAATCCAGTTTTTCCTCTAGAAAATTAATGCCAGACCTCCACCTCTTCAAAATGACTAGTTTCCTATCAAAAGCAATAAGACCTGCTTCAATAGCCTTTTCCCTACCATTCAGATTCTTGAAATGCACAACAAACACACCATTCGCCATTAAAAAAATTTTATCAACACCATACGTCCCCAAACTCGTTTAATAAAACCTTGAAACATTGACCATGGGGGTTTAGAGCACAACACATAGCAAACAACAGTTGAGTTCCAAAATTCAATTTCTTCAGCTATATCTTTGAATTTATCTCTCTTGGTCGAGCCCAACCCCAAAACATTCCCACTAGACCCAAAATTACTACCCCGCAAACAGAGCAAGCAGGAATTGGGGAAGAATTCAGAGAATGGTGAGACCTAGAAAACTCAGGACTCAAACCAGAATTGCAAATCATCATAATAGGGGTAGGGTTCACAATCATTAACATCATCAAAATCATCGATATTCTCATTACTACCCAAATTTCCAGGTTTTGGAACATACCCAGAAATAGAGCCATTCACCAAAACAGGGGAAGAAATTACCTATAACCACTAATTGAGCTCAAAACGATGCTGAGCCTTGACTTCTTCAGGGACCTCATTAAGGGGATATCATCAACTCCATCAAGCCAACTTCCAACCGAAACCACTTCCGTCACTTCTTGGTCCTCAACCGCCTTCTTGCATGATCTAAGCTTATACCGCTGCTTCTTCTTGGATTTAGAGGAGGATTTTGAGTCAGAATTCTTCTTTGCTTTCCTTTTCTTAAAATTAGCCATTAAAGTTAGTACATTAAATGCATTAAATATGAAAGCAACAAAGATTTTCTCTCTCTAGATTTTCCCACTTGAGGAGTTTCATCTAAGTCAGGTGCCCAGGTCAGAGAATAATCAAGCAGATGCTCTTTCAAAACTGGCATCATCCGCCTCCTGTGATACACCTCGATTAGTGTTTTGGGAAATTATGGAAAAAAAAGGTATTGAAGAAGATCCCATTGGAGTCCTAAACCGAAGTTCAACCTGAAAGGATGGCATCCTGGCTTATCTGACAAACGACATTTTGCCGGATACTTAGCTAAAGATGGTTGCAATGAAAAAATGTGCGGCCAACTTTAAAATCCATAATGGAGAGCTTTTCAAGAACACTTATTTGCAACCTTTCTTGAAATGCATCACCCTAGAAAAGGGGCAAGAGGTTCTAGCGGATCTACACTCAGGTTTTTGTGCATCACACATAGGCGGCAGGTCTCTAGCAAAAAAGGCCTGGCGACAAGGCTATTTTTGGCCCACTCTTGAGGAAAACGCTATGGAATAGGTAAAGAAATGTAACAAGTGTCAAAGATTTGGCAAATTTATACACCGTCCGACTACTGATCTGACGGTCATTCATAGCCCAGTGCCATTCACCAAATGGGGCATGGAAATTCAGGGATCGTATACGGCTGCTATAGAAGGACAGCGATATATTTTAGTTGTTGTTGAGTACTTAACTAAATGGCTAGAAGCAGAGGCGGTTAAAGGCATAAAGACAAAGGATGTAATCTCCTTCATCTGGAGAAATATTATCACCCTGTTTGGGATACCTATGTGTATGGTCTTTGACAATGGCCCTCAGTTTGAGACGCCTGCTCTCAAGAATTGGTTGGGAGATCAAGAGATCTCTCAATGCTTTGCATCAGTCGGACGTCCCCAAGCAAACGGCCAGGTTGAAGCCTTCAATAAGCTTATCTCAGACGGCATTAAGAACAAAATTAAAAGAGCTGGTGGTTTAAGAGCAGATGAGTTGCCTCATGTCCTATGGGCCATCAGAACAATAGATAAGGGGTAACCGGTGAAACCCCATTTCTCATGGTTTATGGTGCTGAAGTTGTCTTGCCTATTGAACATTATGAGCCGACTCTTCGAGTCATGCTTTATGGAAAAGAGGCTAACTGGCAGGCTATGCGGCTAGCATCAGACTCACTCCCGGAACGCAGGGGCAACACCGCCTTGCGTCATGAGATTTACCGTCTGAGAATGACAAGAGCCTACAATAAAAGAGTACACAAGTGGCCTTTAAAAGTAAGGGAATTTGTGTTACGGAAAATGGAGGAAACTGGTAGGGCAAATGAGCAAGAAAAGTTGACTCCTAATTGGGAAGGTCCCTACCGGATATATGAGGAAGTGAGAGGTGGCACCTACTACCTAGAAACCCCAGACGACAGGCAGCTAGCCAGAACTAGGAATGTAGACAACTTGAAAAAGTACTACTTTTAGGACTTCTAAAATTTTGTAAATAAAGTTTATCAATGAAAAATTGTTCTTTTTTGCAATCATATTTATTGCTTTCTGTATAAATACCGTTTGTGCAATGTACAAATGGATTTTATAGAATATTTACGTCTGCTCCAACATAAGTAGATATAAGCTAAGTCCAAAAACTTAGTAGCTATGGGTTGTTCCGTTTAGAACACTCTGATGAGGCCAATGGCCAGATGATATCAACAACCGTTTGCTCCAACATGAATAGGGAACTGGTGACGCCCATTCGGGTGAATACGTCGCAGAGAGCATTACCTATTCGGGTGGCACATTGCTCTATACACTTAAAAACAATCGTCCCTACCGATTGTCTGGATTAAGACAACTCGCAACCATTTGAATGATCAAGTGAGACCTGGATAACATAGGTTACTGCCTATTCAGTAATAAACAATTACCGGTAATCATCATGGTTGGATATAACCTATTTTTGCCCAAAAGCACTACAAACAGTTAAATTTGAAGATCTAAGCTAGGCCAGAAACTTAACTGCTAGAACCTTGCTCGTTTAAAACCACTTCACACGGCCAGTTGCCGATTGCTATCAAACGATAATTCGTCTACTCCGACAACAAAACATTTGGCGAAGCCCATCCAGGTGAATTCGTCGTAGAAAACAATTGGCAACGACAGGTTAACCCCATGAGGATTAACTCATAGCCGGTTGACCTAAATAATCTAAGATGGAACCTAGATGGCATAGCTGTTGGGTTTCGTAGTGTCTAACACTACGCGGAAGAGAAACCCGCCCAAGATCCGCCCCAATAATTAAAGCAATAAAGCATGCATAAACATCATTAAACAATAATTAAGAAAAGGTATAAAGAAGTAATACCCTTGAAATGTGCTTTGCTCGTAAACCGAGTTCTTACATTAAAGCTGAAAGCCTCACAAGCGTGACGGCCTCCAACGACTCGTACCCACGACCCGACCCGAACGATCTTCGCCTCAAGTGTTAGTCGAGACTTGACCAAGTATAAAACTAGAGTTTTACGAACTTAAAGGTTTTCTCAATAATAAGAGATGCCTTTTTCAGATCCACTCAAGTTGATTTCCAAATGCTTAATCATGGGGTATTTATAGGGAAATGCAACTTATTTTTCCCATTCATGATCAATGTGGGATAGTTGCATTTTTCACTAATTCATTTAATTCAAAAAATTAATTATAAAACAATGCAATCAACAATCAACAAGTGGCATGAGGAGAGGAGAGGTTAGGTGAGGACCATAACCATGGGGGGGTACCATTGCCTCGCTCCCCAAGGCATGGCTCTAAGCCTTGGTCCCCACTCTCCTCAAACCGGCATCAACAAACGGGTGAGCTGGCTGCCAACCTTGTTGGCCAGCATGCACTGCCACCCAAGCACAGCTAGCACAGCCAGCACGCATTAGCTAACACAGCAAACACACACCAGCCAGCACGCCTAGCACATGCGTGCTGCTAGCGAGCCACGCATGCTGCTAGCTGTTGGGCGCTGGGCGAGGCCTCGCTGCTTGCTGCTACTGCTTTGCGATGCTCCTAGCTTGCTGCTCGCTGCTTGCAACTTGGTGCTGCCATGCGAAGGCACGCACACAAGCAAGCAAGCACAGCGTGCTGTTGCTGCGATGGCATGCACGCACACGCACACACGCACAGGCCTAGCAATGCGATGGTGTTGTGCTATGCGTAGGCACGCACGCAAGCACGCATGGTGCTGCGATGGTGCTGCCATACGCCTAGAGCTAGCGATGCACATACACACGCAAGTTCCTAGCTTTCCGATGGTGTGATGTACGCCTAGCACGCAAGTTGCGCCTAGCATGCACGGTGCGTCCAGCACACATGGTGCGCCTAGCACTCATGGTGCGTCTAGGCTTGCGCCTAGCCATGCAAGGTGCATGATAGCTTGAGCTAGCCTAGCGTCCACATGGCTACGCCATTGTGATGCTACGGCTACGCTCGAACTTGTTGCTTGTTGATTTTGCGACGCACGATCTCGACGCTCTAGGTTCGATATCCGACGTCTGAGTTCGTAATACTCTAGTGACTCATCAAATCCTTCCGATTGATTCGTCGGTTAGGATGGGAAGTTCGTTTAAGTTCGACCCGAAGGGTTAAGACAAGACAAAGTTGTAGTATTAATTGTTCACTAATATTACAGATCGGAAGCGGCCTCTACCCAGGCATTTCGATCACTTGATCTCACTAAAGAATTAACTTCCTGATAATTCTGAACCCTCTACCAATAATACACTTGTTGGAAGGACACCATTCCTTTCAATATCCCACTTATCCTTCCGAACAAGAGTGCATATAAAGTATAGTCTATTTCCTATGTCGCTTAATGTCTCTTCGTGAACTATAAGGTAAGAATAATCGTCATCCTTATTACGTCCAGAAGTGTTTCTCAATCTCCAAGTTCGACTGTCAATAAGCTGATGATTTCTAAAATCCATCTGAGCACAGCCATGCATTTTCACAATCTCACTCTTCGAGCGGCCTTGTAAACAACAAAGACATATTCCCTATTGTTGATAGGGGGACATTCCCAGTCTTGTACTATAAGCTTCTCTTACTAAGAGTACCTAATCTCCTGAGTGTTCTTGTTATAATCCCTAGTTACGGCGGACGTTTGACAACATCAAAGAGACTAGTACTTAAACAAGAGAACTTCACAATACTCATGGTCGAGGAAATAGGTTCCGATAGCTATAGTAAGAAATGTACTTATGACGTTTTAAATCTCTTAAAGTACTCTCATAGGTCGATCTGGTGCAGTTCTAAACTAGCACCTGTGCAAATGATTTATGACTACTATGTCCTTGCAGCACAAGAAACGATG